TCCCCATCAATATGGCCAGGTACAACAGCAGGAAGATTGTAAATAGAAGATTTTGAAGTTTAAAGAAGTTAATCAACCCTGTTAGGAGGAATTCACTACCCTCTGTTTGGTTCTCCATCACTAAAAAGGAAAGAGAAAATCACAAAGTAAATGAGATCTTTACAAGATACAGATAAAAGAAGAAAAAAAACAAAGAAAATAATGATAATATGACTGGCTAGTGAATGTTTGGGATAATTAATAAAATGTGCAAAACAGGATTAAACTATACTCCCATTATTGTTTCATTTATAAATTAACAACATGTTTGAAATTTTTGCTAAACCAGAATTTTACTCTCCATTCCCTGCTCATCTCCATGTTCCTATTCTTTTCTTTGTAGACCACAAAAACAGAGGCAGTGGCATACCCAAATTGTTTAATAAATTATCAAGCAGCACAGATAAGGCATATGATTCCATTATTTATGAAATATTCCTAAACAAGGGATCCAATCAAGCTACATTAGAGCTAAATATAGATTTTTAATAAGTATACAATATATTTATTTCTATATTCAATTTATATATATTTGTTCAAAAAATATAAAATAGAACACCAATTTAAGGTGTTACCATGGTTCTTCTTCTTTGAGCTCAAATCTCATTACAGTCCTACAGAAACAACTTTCAACTATTACCAAACTGGCTAAATTTTTAGTATAGTCACGGCTTGTAGAAGTGTAACCCCTCTTTTATGTTGGTAATTGCTTCAGGCTTTTCTGTAAAACATTTATGTTATCATTACTTTATTATGTTGTTTTATATTGTATTTGTTTTATCTCATCCACTTTTAAATGTTGATCATAGACAATCAATTAATGAATCTTTGCTTTCTGACAGTGCCTTCATCTAGCAGAAAACCTATGATGGATTAGTTTTCTATTAGAATCTCAAAAAATCCTTATTTGGATCAAGCAGTGAGTACTTAATATAAATACTACTCACAGAATTAATGTGTCTAAAGTATTGTTGTATCATAATGGTAAGTATTCTACTTTTGTCCTGTTTCTAACTCAGATTTATTAAATGATTACCTGCCTTATAGGTCATATATATTGCAATATTTGTATATTGCCATGAAAAGAAACAACAGCAGCAGCAGCAGCAACAACAACAACAACAACAAATCTCCTAAATAAAATGTCAATTCTAATGTCTACATCTGTTAAATATTTAGGAAGTTCAAACCCGGATGAGATCTCTTTTCCACTAAAATATTTATTTTTAAAATGAAGTAGGAAATTCAAAGAGGTGCAGGACACAAAGAAAGCTATTCATTAATATTTGTTTTATCTGAATATTGCAATATGTCCACTATTACATAGTGTATGAGAATGTTACTATTTTCTCAGTAAGCTAACTCACCTTTAATATGTGTTTAATTAGTGGTGATAGGCTTTACTAAACTGCAGATAATACCAATATTCACATATATTAAAGAAAAATAAAATTATGCATCCATATCCAGCCTCTTTGGTTGTTTCTTAAAATGTCAGGGAAGAAGCATCTATAGCATGAGGAAGCAAAATGGAGCAACAGTAGATTCTGAAACTAAATATGAGGAATTGGTTGTTGTTGTTGTTTTACTTCTGTTCAGTTGTGTCCAGTTCTCAGATATTGCCTGGACATATCCCTAAAGTTTTCTTGGAGAGGTTTTTCAGAAGTGGTTGGCCATTGCTTCCTTTCCAGGAAAGAAAGAAAGTGACTGGTCCAAGGTAACCCAGCTGTTTTTGTACTTAAGGTAGGACTAGAACTAGTCCCTGGTCTCCTGGTTTCTAGCCTGATGCCTTAAACACTACACCAACTGGCTCTCACTGTGAGGAAATGGTAACTGAAAATAAAATGGCCCAAGAGCCAAAAACATTAACAATATAAAAGAAGGGATACAAGTAATCAATTTCTCTTGCAGAATGCCTCTTGAATGATTTTTACTTTTTCAATATGTATTTGTCTTATAAAGCATAATTTCTTACCACTAGGGAAAAATATACAATTCATGAACGAATAGGTCTTGATTGCCCATATAGGGATAAAGGTATTGGATGAGAGTAACTAATTAACATTAATGAATAAAATTGTTTCCCAAGGCATTAGAATAGAGGCATTATTTTTTTATACTTCCAATAATAAATGTAGGAGAATATGTTTTAATATATAACAAGGTGAGGATTGAAATTAACATTTTAAGTGGTATTAAAGATGAGAGATGAATGAAAATTCATAATGTATAAAGATCATGTTAAAAAATAATCATACATATCCTTAATATAACAGGCAGTTTTCCAGGCAATGGAGAACTAGATACAGATATCAAATACAGTTCAAAGTGGGCATCCTAATTTATCTTGCCATCCAGAAACATTCTAGGAATCAGCTTTTCTGCAACTAACAGCCTTAGAATCTAGTCAACTGGCAACATTCCTTAACTTGAATTCTATGGCACCAGCCTCTTTGCTGAATAGCAACCTTCCTATCTGAGGTCCTTGATTCCATTTCAGGGTTCGCAGTGGAATTCCCAGGCTTATGATCCTGGGGGATTTCAACCTGTCTTTCCTGGTAATGGAGTCTATAATAGCTCAGGAGACATGGTCACACAATTTGATTTTTTGTCAAAGCAGTGACCAAATGATCTGGATTTGAGGGAGCTGTTTGTGACTCACTTGCACTGGTGAGTTCATGCCCTGGGAACCATGTGATCCAGCTCATGCCACATAGATATGGGATCAATTTGATTGGTCCTACCCTGATGACTGAATGAACTGGAAAGATTCCAGAGAGAGCTGGAGATTGTTCCTAATGATCTGTATGATCCAGAGGGTGTTATGAAGGTGACAATGCCTTGGATCAGATTGTCCCTGTATGACTTTATTTTTGCTATGGATTCCATTGTTTTCCCTGGTTTACAGAATTGCTGAGGGAGATGAAATGATAGAAAAAATGTTCAGAGCATCGCTAGAGATCAATAAAGGATGAACATAACCAAGTATAGGTGAGAGCAGCTACTAATGCCCAGCCTGTGATGGTGGGATGGCAAAGTATCTATATCCTTATTGTGTCTGCAGATTGCTGTCTTCTGGCCTGGCTTTTTTTGACCCAAGCCCATTTGAACAAGGGGAACTCAGAGATTCATGTGCAGAGCTGGAAAGAGGAATTTTCAGAGGATCTGTTGGACAAAACTGCCCAAATTCATTCCCAGTTAGATACCAGTTTAGTGAAGTTCTGGTGAAGATATCTGGCAAAGTCTTACTACCCTGTTATATTGGAATGGTTTGAATCTGCTGGGTCTCAGGAAGTAGATGGGATCATCCTGATTGCAAACCACACCACCTTCCTCTTAGAACCATGCTAGCTTGCTGCCCTGAATGGGACAATTCTGGCAATTGTTAATTCATTTTCGAGGGAGGCAGTTTTTCTTCACCTTTTAAGGATATATAGGTTCATCCCCATCCTTAAGAAGGCATTACAGAATCCTACCATAATGGACATTTTTAATCCAGTGTCCAATCTCCCTTTTCTAAGTAAGGTTGTGGAGAAGGTGGTCATGCAGCAGCTTCAGTGAACCCTAGATGAAGTGAATTATCTAGATGCCTTTCAGTCAAATTTCATGCCTGGACACAGAAGGAAACAGCCTTGTTCATAAGTTTTAAATGATCTCTGGAAGAAATGGGATGTTGGCCGTGCATTGATCCTGATTCTACTTGATCTGTTTAACATCTACATGAAACTGCTCATCTATCACTATGGATAAAATATCATCTATATATTAGCAAGACTCAATTATATCTCTGAGCCCCTAGAAATGCCATAGCAGTGCTACAAATGTCCTATCATGTAGAATGTAGGAATCTTGATGGGGAATAACAGGTACTTCCTTAAACCCTGGCAAGACTGAATGGCTAGAGGTTTTAAGGCCTTACTAATCTGGGACTTAACCATCTTCTGTACTGGATGGGTGGAACTGTCCCAAACAGATCAGATGCACAACCTGGTCCTTCTGGCTTCATAACTCCTGCCTGAGGAGCAGATGGAAGCCATAACCAGGAGCATCTTTGCAAAACTTCTGCTGTCCTCTAGTTGTGCCCATTCCTGGATTATGAGATTTTGCTCAGTTATTCATGCCCCGATCATCTCCTGAATGGACTACTAAAATGTAGTATAAGGGCTACCTTTGAAGTGCATATGGAAGCTTCAGCTGGTACAGAATGCAGCAGCATGAGCAGATTTTTTTTTCTATACAATCAGTTGTCACACTATATCCTAAATTCCAGATACTCCTTTCACCTGGGACACATGTCAAGATAATTATATTTCTGGGGAACCAGGTGACACATACTTTTACGCACCAAATTTATAGATGACATTCTAATAGCTCATCAACATGATTTTCAAATGAGCTGAAATAATTTTTCAAAGGAGTGTAATTTAAACATTTTATTTTGTTTAATTGGGGGGAGTAAATCATATTGAGACCAGTAAGGAGCATTTATGGTTATGCTATTTGATTCTGTATTATAAAGCAAAGTAATATTGTACATTAATAGGATACTTACAAATCAGACTTTCCCACCATAAGTAATTCAAACAGGCTTCAAATGATTTTCATCCAATAAATAAATGAGAATTGAAAGGTTAGGAGAGATGGAGAATTGTTTAAGGATCAATTTGTAGAAATAGGACTAGGATCATGATCAACTTCAGCCACAAACAAAAAAGCTCACTGCTCAGACTAACTCATTTTTTCTTCTAAAGAGCATATTGTCATGTCAATGTCATCTCAATTATTTTTGCTGGTATAAAATGTTAAAAAAATGGTGGGATGACTATTTATTAAATTTATTTGCTGTCCATTGCATATCAAAACAGCTATTGGTGGATTTATATAATCATATCAATCAATCAATTAACTGAATGGATTGGAATAATGCCAGTTTTGGCAAATTTAAATTTTTATTTGTGAAACTGAACCATCATGGAGAGAATATCATTCCAGCTTTTGTTTTCATGAGAAACTGAAAATCTTTTTCCTAACAATTTTTTTCATTGCCCTTTTAACCTCCTGATTTCTTAATGTATAGATAAGTGGGTTTAAAACTGGAGTAACTGCACTATATATGAGGGTTAATGTCATCTCCTGTTGTGATGGGGCACCAACAGTGGGAAGCATGTAATTAAACAGCACAGGAACATAAAGTAAAGCCACCACAGTCAGGTGGGATCCGCATGTGGAGAAAGCTTTTTGCTGAGCACTCTGAGACTGTATTTTGAAGAGAAGGAAAGTGATAATGTAGAGATAGGAAATTATTGTGATGATAAAAGGGGTCATAGCAACAAAACTGGTCACAGTACTAAGGAGCATGAGGTTAAGGTATGTGCTACCACAGGCTAATTTCAACAAAGGCTTGATATCACAGAAAAAGTGTTCAATATGATTTGGTCCACAGAAGGGAAGACGAGCAGTTACCACTGCATGCATCGAGGCATGGAAAAAGCCAATGAACCAGGCAGCTGCTGCCATTAGGAGACAAACCTCTTTTCTCATGATGAGAGTGTAATGCAAAGGTTTACATATTGCAACGTAGCGATCATAGGCCATGACTCCAAGGAGAATGACTTCAGTGCTGCCCAAGAAGTGGAAAAAATGCAGCTGGGCTATGCAGCCCTTGAAGGAAATGTGTGAAAAAAATCCAGCTAGCATTTTTGGAACAGTAACTGTGGAATAGAAGATGTCAAGGCAGGAAAGATTTCCAAGGAAAAAGTACATGGGAGTTTGAAGGTGTGGTTCAATTAAAATAACAACAATTATAGCACCATTCCCCACTAATGTGGCCAAGTATAATAGTAAGCAGATTATAAAAAGTACATTATAAAGTCTGAAGAGATTTGTCAGCCCCATTAAGATGAATTCACTCACTTCTGTTTGATTCTCCATCACTAAAAAGTAAAAAAAAAAGATTATGCAGGATAAATTAGATGTTAAAAAATTAAAAAAAATATATTTAGCTAAGTACACTACATATGTATCTACCCAAACTTAATCCATCTTCTGAGTAAGACAGCAAGATAATATTGGGATATAGAGATTTGGATAAATAATGACACTATTTTATTTATTGAGCCACAGTGACATAGCCATAGTGGCAAAACCATCCAGGTAGAGGTAAGTTTATAAAATGTAAACCTGACTCTGATAGTAGAACAATTCATTCTTAATTTTAAATCTGTCCTGCAGGATTATGGCCTAGAATTTTGGTGGTGAATCTTCATACCGTCCAGCTATCCCAAAGATGCTTTTTCATGAGGCAACTGGCCCTTCTTGTTTTTCTTTGAAGACATTTTACTTCTTGTCCAATCTGAGCTAAAGAAGCTTCTTGGATGAAGAGTGAAATGTGATCAAATAACTGAGAATTTCCATAGACATATATCTGCCAGCTGTTATCTCTTGTTTCCAAGCTTCTTCTTCTCAGAGTTCTTCTGATTTTTTAAAAAGTTTACACTTTGCTATTCAATATCCATCAGAATTTAAACTAACACTGCTTCAATTCCTTACCAACAAAACTATCAGTATGTATAGATCAATATCACAAGAGCTTCAATTTACAGTGGTTAAAAGCAGCTCACTGCAAATGCTCTATGCTATATTTTCTGTTATATCTATCTTTATATTATAGATTACTGTTATTGGTCTAGGATGGTAAATAACAATTTTGTGATTGAAATGATTACCATTAAATAAAATATATTTGGCATGTAATATTTTTTTAAAAAAAAACCAACAATGAAAACTTTTATGTTATCTCTCCACATAATCATTATTAACTTTAGAAAATATCCAGATATGTGTTCCATATTTTTTTTATTGGCAGTACCTTCATCTATTAGGAAAACTGAGAAGTCTGATCCTTCAGTCAGGCTTTTCAGATTTTCTGTGTGGGATACCATGTAGCTACAGATCACTGGATTTATATTTTGAATAATATCATGAATAATAATTTTATCTCAGCCTGTTTTCCCCTACATAGATTAATCATGTACCACAGAAAATATACACTTATATATTACCAAAGAATAGGTGAAGAAAGTGTCAAATAGAAATCCCCTGAAAAAAATGAATTTCAACTCTAATATCTATATCTGCTACATAAACAGTTCATACCTTGATAAGACCTTTTTTCTACTAGGGCATAAAGAAAGATCATTGAAGATAAAATGGCCCAAGAATTAAAAAAAAATCAGCTGTGTGTAATGCAAGTAATCAGCCTTCCTTGTAAAGCACACAAGAATGCAAGTAATCAGCCTTACTTGTAAAGCACACCCAGAATGATTTGCATGTTTTCAAAAATGTGATTTGTTTATAAAACATAACATGCCATTAGGGAAAAAAGGAGTAATCTGTGGAATAGAGTTTCTAATTGTTCTTAGGGGGATATATTTGTGTATTTTGAGCATGCACATAATTTGTGCAGCCATTTACTAAATTATAATTTCAGTAGGAAAAAAAATACTCCCATTCCCTCCCCTCAATATTTTGGAATATGAAGACAGAAAAAAAGATAGGAGAGTCTGTTATAATAATAAGACAATGATGACTGAAATTAACCTTTAAAGTAGCATTAAGAACAAGGGATGTGGCAAATAATTTAGATATTCTACTTATTAATATTCACTCTCTCAGTGCATGCTACTACATAATATATCTTGGGTATCAGTATGGACATCATATTGAGTTTGAAAATAAATCACCTCAGGGCCAGATGCAACACAATATGTGGCAACTATTGTATGTCTAGATGTCTCACCATCTCTCACCATCTTGTGCTTCCTAGTACTATTTAAAGAGAGGATTAAAGATGTTTGAGATGAAAGTGATGAAACTTAATTGAGAAAAACATGCAGTGGGATTAATCTGCTTGAAGGAGGATTGCAAAATTAACAAAAACAGTGGGGTGGTACTATTTAGATTCATTGGTAGCTTTAAATGTTTTTAATCATGTATATTCAGTTAATTTCCCTTGATTTAAAACAGATATAAAATAACCCACATCTATTTTTCTGTTTATATCACCAAGATACCATATTCTTCAAAATAAACCAATTTGTGTTGTAAAATTGAGAGAAGTGAAGCAACCAAAGCCTATTGTGCTCCAACTCTTATGTTGATCTGAGAAGTTCAGGTCATTCAGTTTGCTTTAAATTATGGATCCAAAAAAACAAAAAAAATAAAAAATAAAAACTCTCTGCCTTCTCAAACTGAAGGAAATGTTAAACATAAATTACTCTTGAATTTGAACTTTAATAAATGCCCAATAGCTACTTTTTTGATATTTCCTCTTCTGATCATTTACTTTGCTACTGCATTATTTCCATGTTTTTTTTAAATTATTTGTATCCAGTTGATTTTTTTTTAACTTCTGAAAGCTGTTGACTCCTAAGGAAAGCCAGACCTACAGTATATACAGTATCTTGCAGACACTATTACTGCATGTGAAAAAAGAGTGATTTAATTCCCTTTTATAAACAGAGTAGTTTCTGGCATGAAGTTTTCATTCATTCATTCATTCATTCATTCATTCAATTTATACAGCCAACCAACTCACATTAATGACTTTGTGTAGTTTACAATAAAAACATAAGCAGTATCCAAAATATACAACAACCGTGCAAATAATACAAACTTCAAAAACAATTAATCAACAGTAGTCACCAGGAGTTCAAGAACAATATAGCCATTTTATGGGCTGCCCACCATTCTCTATTTCCCAGGACAGATAGCAAAGCCAGATCCTCAGGTCCTTCTGAAAGACCATCAAAGTTGTGGCCACCTGACCTTGGAGGGAATTAAGTTTCATAGAGCAGGTACAGCAGCAGAAAAAGTCCTTCTCCTAGATCCTGCCAGATAATATTCTCCAATCATTAAAATCATGAATCATGAATTTCTCCCTGCAAACTTCTCTCAAATAAATAAACAGGAAAATTGACAGGAAAGGGAGGGAAGGAAAATGGGAGGGACGGAGGGAGGAAGGGAGAAAGGAAGGAAGAAAGGAAAGAAAGAAAGACCCTTCCCCAGATGCCTCTCTTGATGTTGATTCAAAGGAGGATGAGTTGATCCCAGGCATATCAGGAGGAAAACCAGTAGCTCCAAGATTGGGGCTGTGAATCCAAATTAGGTGGAGTGGCAACTGGATGAGCAGCCAGTTGAAAGTAGGATGGTTGAAGCACAGCTGCAGCAGGAAAGTCCTGAAGCTTTGGAAGTAGGAGCACACAGCTGTCAGCAATAAGGAAGAAGAACTGCCTTCTCCATCTGATCTGAGAATACATAGGGCAAAGAAAAGACAGGAGCAGTGGATGTCAGTCTGACTACTTGTGAGGTGGCATCATCGTCCCTTCTTAATGGTCTGCACCAGGAGCTGGCTATTTAGCAAAATGGAAGGAGGGGAACAATGTTCAGAACAATGTGTCAGTTTCCTGGCTATGTGTGCTCCTGTGCTTGTGACTCTTATTTTGGGCTTTGCATTGTGTTTCAGGGACTCTGGACTTGTTTATGACCTATGGATTTACTTTGACTTTGTGGATTTGGCTTTGCTTATTAGAATTACCCTTTGTCTTGTGGATTTGCCTTGGATGTGGGGATTTGTTCTGGTTTTGTGGACTTGTCCTGACACAGTAGACTTGCCTTGTCTTGAACTCATTGCAGGTGTTCTGTTTGCTGGTGAAGGGAATTTCTTGGGAATAGCAATTCAGAGTTGGTATCTTCAATAAAGATTCCTAACTCCTCAAAATGTGGGTGGGTGTAAGTAGGACAACACAGAAGATTTCTGATGCTACCTGTCAACTTTCCACAAAGAAAGTCAATGGGGAAGCCAGCAGGCAGTCCCACTGCTTTTTTGCCCATACATAGTTATTCTGGTTCTTTGTTAAAGTAAAGAAATATTTGTGAAATTATGATCTAATGGAGCATGGAATTGTTAAGCTTATTTTAAATTTTCTTACACTGACTACTTTTTAAGCTTTTTGACAAATGTTTTCAAGTCTTTTTTTAAAAAAATATTTATTCCTTTTTAACTCAAAAAAAAATAACTCATCAAGTGAAATTTTTATCCCGCCACTCAGAAAATATCTCCTTAGCTGTAAATTAATTTATCTAAGAATGGTTAGGAAAAGAGGCTTGTGAGAATCTTATATTCCTTAGGAAACTTTAGGAATTTCAAAATATCTAAAAGAGCTTATTTGAAGAACTCTAGCTTGAGAAATGGTAGAAGGTCCACTTGTGATACTGAACCATCATAACTGCAATATCTTTCCAAAATTTCCATTAACCAAAAAGAGGTTGCTTTTTCTCCATACTTTCTTCATTGTTAGCTTAACCTCCTGATTTCTCAATGTATAAATAAGTGGGTTTAAAACTGGAGTAATTGCACTATATATAAGGGTTATTATCATATCTTGTTTTGATGAATTACCCACAGTGGGAATCATATAATTAAATAATACAGGAACATAAAGTAAAGCCACCACAGTTAGGTGGGATCCACAAGTAGAGAAGGCTTTTTGCCAACCACTCCTGGACTTAACCTTTGCAAGAAGGAAAGTAATAATATAGAAGTAAGAGAGAAGTATGAAAATAAAAGGACCCATAACAATACAACTGGTTACAATACTGAGGAGCATAAGATTCAGGTATTTGCTACCACAGGCCAGTTTCAACAAAGGCTTGATGTCACAGAAAAAGTGTTCAATGCGATTTGATCCACAAAAGGGGAGGTGAGCAGTCACCACTGCATGCATCAAGGCATGGAAAAATCCAGCAGACCAGGCAGCTGCTGCCATTAGGAGACAAACCTCTTTTCTCATGATGAGGGTGTACCGCAGAGGATCACATATTGCAACATAACGGTCATAGGCCATGATTCCAAGGAGAATGACTTCACTGCTTCCCAAGAAATGGAAAAAGTGTAGCTGGACCATGCAGTATTTGAAGGATATTGTGTGTAGCTCTGA